ACCATTGAAGTCAATGGTTTAATGGAATTTAATTTCCCAGAGTCTGCAAGATCTCGTGGAATTTCAAAGGGAATCACGCTGCCTGCTTTTTCCGTTGGTGCTCTGTTTAGGATCAGCTTCTGTAAGCTGCACCCAACAAAATCCATTGAAAGAGTAATGTATTGTTATTACTGCATAGAGATAGTATACTTACTAATATGTACTAGTAGTAACGCATTACACACAAAGCAATCTCCATTTTGAGCACTGCTGCTTCTTAATGAAAAGAAGATTGTATTCATTTGTAGCAGCTCTTGCAAAGCTTTCTGCTGTCATGTTCTGTCATCAGCGATCCTCAGTCAGAAAATGTCATGTACTGTGCAGTTAACCCCAGCAAAAAATTTTAGCTACCATACTAAACACAGGCACAAAACCGTCAGAGCTCAACACCTTTTACAAACTAAGCTAAAATCAAATTACAGACTTAATTTGAAAATGTCTCATCTTCTAATCTCTGAGATCTGAGCCTCTGAGACCTCCAAATTCTACCCTTTGTCTAATCCACCAGTCCTTCCCCTGACTACTTACCAGCACATCTTAAGAACGTTAACAAAGATGTCCTGCTAAGTATTTTCCTCTGGTGGCTTGGGTTTGGTTGGGGGTTTTTTTCCCCCTCCTTGATGAATAGCAAAATCTACTTTAATGCACCAATTTTCATTAACAGGCTTTACAAATACCAGCAGGATTTACAAAAGCAGCACAGTGATCATCAATAAAACTCATACAGATGTATTTCTGTGTCCATGAAGAAGCAGCTGTTTATTGAATTTAGGATAATGAAATCATCCTCAACATACAGACTGTGAACAACACTGCATAGGCATGCCCAGTGTGTATCAACAGTTCTTGTTAGGTTTCGTAGCTTCAAGGATTATCAGAGCATTTCTCTGCATTTCCCTGAACAATATTTGAGCCACAGATGTTGGAAAGAAAACAGACGGCAAATACACTGGAGAGTACAACAGATCCCCAGCTTCCAATATAGACTTTGTCTATGTCCACTAAAACTGTATTCAAACAATGAACAAAATAAATAGCAAGCAGAGTTTGTCCAAAAATAGCTCTAAATGTTTTCAGTTTAAGACATGTTAAAGGTAGCTACATCATCCCCTCCTCAGCTTCTACAGTTCGACAAGGAAATTCAGGTTCTTAACAGTTTTCTCACTATGATGTAAAACTTTTCTTTAAGTTGGGTGATCTTCACTAGAAAGCAATAGGAACTTCTCTGCTAATATGGTTGCATATAGGGGCACATGGTTTGAAGGTTAAAGGCAAGTTCAAAGCCCATAACAATTTATAGCTGAGATGATTTAACTGTGCAGCAGCTGACTTTGCAGTGAACAGGCTCCTTCTGTATTTATTCGTATCCCATCTATTTCTGGATTAGAATTTACAGTGTCTAACTTTACATGTTGGCTTGTCAAAATATGATTTCATTACTCTTACTCCAGCTGAGATCTGAAGGGGGCGTACAAGGGTGCTGGAGAGGGACTCTTGATCAGGCACTGTAGCAACAGGACAAGGGGTAATGGGTTTAAACTTAAACAGGGAAGATCAGGTTAAATATAAGGAAGAAGTTCTTTACTGTGAGGATGGTGAGGCACTGGAATGAATTGCCCAAAGAAGTGGTGAATGCTTCATACCTGGCAGTGTCAAGGCCAGGTTGGATGGAGGCTTGGGCAACATGGTCTAGTGTTAGGCATCCCAATGGCAGGGGGGTTGGAACTAGATGATCCTGGGGTCCTTTCCAACCCTAACTATTCTATGATTCAATGTTCCCTAATCTTACCATAGCCAGATTTCATATCTGCTTAATGTTTTGCTTTCTGAAGTTCACCGGTTTTAACTGGTTCAATATGTGATAGCTAAACTTCTTGAAAGCCTTCTTAGCCACATTATTCACAGTTTAAGATTTCAGTAGAATTTATTTCGGTTTACTATTGTAAGAAAAGAATGTAACCTTTCTGTGACAGGTATCAGGTCTATTTTATAAGCACAGGAAGCAACACAGCATTTCACTAATTACTTGGAGATAGAAATAGGATATAGATGTGATAAAGTCCCATAATTTTTTACTGGTAAACACTAAAAGACTATTCCTTAACAAAACAAGATTAGTCCTAATCACAGCATTCAACTTAACTGCCTAAAGATGATTTGAGGGCAAGGGAATTTTCTAAATGTAACAAATCATTTCAGAAAATCATCTGGGATGTATTCAGGGATGGAAGAAAGATGGACTTTATAAAGTTTTATTTACAATTACAATTACATTACAAATATCATAAATATTTTAATGTGTGATTATATTTCCTGAGTAACATGGGAATTAACTTGTGCTTCTAAACTGTAAACCTTTGGATTACTGCACCCTTTGAAAGCAAACATAACTGTCTCTAGAGCAATGATGCTCTAACCACAGTTTTGATTTTTATATTTAGCTCCTCCTGATCCATTTTAACTTCATCTGGCAGATACATAACAAATACTCAGTTCCTGCAAGCCAGTTTATCCCTTCGTTTTTCAAGGAATACATTTTTCATCCGTTGCCTGCACTTCATAAAATATTTTAAGTCCATCATGATTCTTCTGAAGGTACTGCAAGTACTAAAATAAAGTCAGACAATAAGTCCTATTCATTCATACTGCATCTCTGGTAAGAGACTAGAGGTTAAGAATTTTCCATGGTAACTAGAATGGCTTAAAGATCTTCTGACAATAACATGATGGATTCCAATTTTAGTCATTCAGGAATAAATTTACTCTAAGATACCTTTCTTCCACTTCTTACACTAGGTGAGAAGGCCAGTTTGCTACTGAGGGGCCATAACAGCCCTGACTCCTGAAAGGACAATAGTATTCTGGCTGGGATGTGGAAAAATGCCCATTTCCAAAAAACATCTGGCAGATACTTTCCAGTGTCTGCAGCTTTGATATGGAGGGGTCCAGAGAAAGGAAAATTTTGCTGTGGGTGAAGACTTATAGCCATAGTAAATGTATCCATTCTGGGGGAAAATTGCGTAGTTTATACAAATGTTCACTGTTGCTTTGATCACCTTCATAGAATCATAGAATTGTAGAATGGTTAGGGTGGGAAAGGACCTTGAGGTCACTTAGTTCAAATCACCTGCCACAGGCAGGGACACCTTATCCTAGAGGCACCCAAGGCTCTGTCCAACCTGGCCTTAGACACCGCCAGGGATGGAGCATTTATCATTTCTCTGGGCAACCTGTTCCAGTGCCTCACCACCCTCACAGTAAAGAATTTCTTCCTTATATCTAACCTGAACTTTCCCTGTTTAAATTTAAACCCATTACCCCTTGTCCTATTGCTGCAGTGTCTGATCAAGAGTCCCTTTTTCAAATGCTTGAAGTTAGTTGCATGATTAAATTCATGTGAAGCTTCATACATTTTCTCATACAGCTTATTGTTTGCTGGACTGGGCTGTTGTGAGAATGTAGGGTAATTATTCATCACAAAAATATTTATGAACCTTCCTGAACCATCTGACAGCTGGGTGTGTTTATAGAGGATAGGAATTTATTTTTTTTAAATGTACAGTTTCTGCACTTTTAAAGAAGAACTGCAGCTTAAAGAAAAAACTTTCAGCTACACTAATGTTGAGTGCAACCACAGATCAATTGACCTGTCAGGCATGACATTATCCGAAACCTCTCTGGATGGACTTGCCTTTGCATGAGTTAGAGCAAAAAAGGAAACTAAGTGGGACTGAAAAAAAGACAATTTTTGAAGGAAGGAAAATGTGTATGCAATGTATCTGCTACAGAATGATATGCTATTCCTTTTGCCATGGTAAACCTAATTAAATAATTACATTCTAAAATCTTTATGAGAATCTTAATTATTAATGTCATCAACAGACTAAAAAAATGTAGGTTAGGTGTGGGGAGAATTTGGCTTTGCAAAGACATTACTTACAAGCAATTTTTTTGCATGACTGAGCACATGTGCACACAGACCAGATACTCACGCTTTACAATGAGGTTAAACTTACAAATTATTTATAAAGGGATGGTAAACTCCGTAAGCTATTACAGAATCCACAGAGTACATAGTTTTTTTATAACTATGTAAAATACCCTCAAGTAATGTGCAACCAAGTATAATTTATGGAAGTCATACATGTAGTGTTGTTTATGATGTATATTAATCATTTAGTAATCCTTTATGAACTATTTATGAATTCAGTCTAAATGGAAAGCAAGCCTGACTAGTTACTCCACTGCACTAGCTGCACTGAAGTTTAAGGGTGCAGGCCTCTGTCATTCCTTTTTAACAAGCTAATCAGTCTTTAGACATGGCAGTATTCACTAGCTATTTCCTTACAGACTCCTAGGGAGTTAGAAATCTGAAAGAGGCATTACAAAGAGGTTTCACTTTTAAGCGTATGTACAGAATACTTCTTTTACATCTTCTCCAGTATTTCAGTATAGTTACCACAGGTCTGCTTCACAGCATCCCTGAGGTAAAACTCCTTAAAGATACATCTCAAAGTCTACTAAGTCTTGGATCCTGAGGACTCTTGTGTAATTTGTTTCATCAGGCCACCAAAATATTGGCCATATTTCTGGGTTCTGAGCAGAGGACAGTTGCTGTGTAAATGTGCAAGTCCATCAGTCCTTATGGCTTCCTCATGAAAATGGGCAATGTAACAGAAATGACCGATACAGTCTAGGCTATCATAATGTCTGGGAACAGATCACAGAATCATAGAATGGTTTGGGTTGGAAGGGACCTAGATGCTGGCTTGCAGGATTATTCTGCTCCAAAGCAATTCCACCTGCCAAAGTATAGCAACTTGTGCTTGCTGCAGGCAAGATCCACTTTCATGTGACAGTGCAGTTTTATCACTGCTTTTGGCTTCTTAATGCATCCTGTGAAATCTCTTGATGCCTGAGTACCATCCCAGTACATTAATTCTTCACTTGTTCTTTTGCAGGAAACAGATCTCATTCTGACCTTTAATATCTCAATGCATCGCTCTTGGTGGATGGAGAATGGGCCAGGCTGCACCGTGACCTCAGTAACCCCAGCACCAGACTGGGCACCAGAGGATCATCGATATATCACTGTCTCGGGTTGTCTTCTTGAATATCAGTACATAGAAGTGGCTCACAGTTCTCTTCAGATCTTCCTTGCAGTAAGTGTTTACTTACTTTACTTAGCTTCAGTTTCACCACGTTTTCTAGATTTCTTCTTGCAGAGCATCATTGCCAAAGTATTGTGGCATTCATTCACAAACCCTGGCTCTAAGTTAGTTTTGTTATGAAATGCAGCTAGTTTAAGACACAGGTACGTGAAAAGCTCCAACATAGATGTTTATTGCTCTTAGAAATGCTGACATGACACAGTTTTATTCCTGACCTCCATTTGACCATTGACAATGCCAAAATCATTTATAGCAGGTTACATTCAAATTACACTATGGGATATCAGTTGTGACTTAAGTTACAGGTGTTGCTGTGAAAGCCAAATTGAATAAAAAAAAGAAAAGCCAAAATGAAGGAGTAAGTTTCAAAAGATGAAATAGATTCACTGATCAGTTCACACAACCCAAAACTGATCAATTTGAATTTACTGGAGGAGAGTGGAAAGGTTTCTTTCCAAATAAACAAAATGTACTTGTATGAAAATCAAAATTGGAAATCTTCATATTTTTTTAGGAGGATAAGAAACCACTGTTGCGTTCAGAAAAATTATAATTAATGAAAACAGCTTTTTGGGGGAAAATTGATACCATTTTCAACCAATTTTGCCTTGTGTTATCTCTGACCTACGTGAAAAGATGACATAAGTGAATTACTGTAGGTATAAATTTAAAGCAGTGCCTCCAGGGATGGAGATTCCACCACCTCCTGGGCAATCTGTTCCAGTACTTGATAATCCTTAGAAATTATTACAACTATCGAATCTAAAGCCTCCCCTGGCACAACTTGAAGCCATTTCCTCTTGTCCTATCACTTGTTACTGGGCAAAAGAGACCAACACCCACCTGGCTACAACCTCCTTTCAGATAGTTGTAGAGAGCAGTCAGGTCTCTCTGAGCATCCTTTTCTCCAGCCCTTGGAGACATAAGACTTATGCTCCAGACCCCTCACCAGCTTCATGTCCTTTTCTGGACCCGCTCCAGCACCTCAATGTCTTTCTTGCAGTGAGCAGCCCAGAAATGAACACAGGATTCAAGGTGCGGCCTCACCAGAGCCAGGTAAAGGGGGATGATCACTGCCCTGGCCCTGCTGGCTGCACTGTTTCTGATACAGACCAGGATGTTGTTGGCCTTCTTGGCTGCCTGGACACAAGCTGGGTCATGTTCAGCCGGGTGCTGACCAACATCCGCAGGTCCTTTTCTGCTGAACAGTTTTCCAGACACTCTTCCCCAAGCCTGGAGTATTGCATGGGGTTGTTGTGGCCCAAGGGCAGGACACAGCACTTTGCCTAGTTGAACCTCCTGCCACTGGCTACAGCCCATCAATCCAGCCTGTATGGATCAGTCTGCAGAGCCTTTCTATCCTCAAGTCCTCCAAAGGAGCTATCCAAGCTTATTATTTTTTACCTTTTTTTTTTTTTTTTAATGTAATGAATGATGAACAAGAAACTCAAAGAATATATAGCCAAAGCTTAGTTGTGTTCCTGATGCAACAACGTTTTTTGTGTGTCTGCCTGTACAGAGCTGTGTTTCTAGATAAGGTCATTCTTTGCAAGCTAGGGGAATGGTTCAGAATAACAAACTGCTGGTAATTCACTAACTGTAGCTGGCTACAGCTGGATTTATATTTCCATTCATGTTATTGCGAAGGTGATTATCATAAGTAAAGAGCTACGCAGTGTAACTGTCAGTCAGTTTCAAAAACCTCATGCTTGCAACTTGACACCATTTTCACATTTCCAGTTGTAGGCATGGCGCTCTTTTTCTAATAGAAATTCTAGCATAAATTCACTATCATAGTAAATCTGGTGAAGAACAGAGAAATTACCTTGTACTGCGCAGAGGCATATAACACAAATTTAGAAGAGCAGATATTGCTAGGTTTTCAGTAAACTAGCTTTTGACAAACCTAAGCTTTAGATCAGATTTATCCCCAGTCAATGGAAAGAAATTAAACTTCCCTTTTAATTTTCTTTTATGGACACTCAAGTGGATCTTGCACTTTAACTGTAAAACTATACATTGCAACCTGCAAAATGGTTACTTGCTTTCTATTTGTATTTCTGTATGTTCGTGACAATGATCAAGATGATGTTGATCTTGGCTTTTTCATGAGTGGTAACATTGCAGCATGTTTTTAAGGATGTTTTCTACTGCCTGTGATAAAAAGTTACAAAGACATTCAGCTTCATTGAGGACCACTTACATTGGTCTTTGAAAACATTATACTGAGTGCATTTTGTACAGCTTGCCAGTAAGCTCACAAGGAATCCAGCTACAGAAGCTTAGGCTTCACATAGATGTATTGTTTGCTGTGGATTACTTACTGGAAAGAATATGACAGCTAAGATAAAAGCTATAAACCCCCCATATTTTACACTTTCTAAAAAGCAAGTCTCAAGGTGGGCCGTGGAATGTTTCAGGATTGCAGACACTCTGATAAGGAGGTACGGAATACTCATAGTCTCCGAGAGACCTCATCTCTCCAAAGGAATGTGTCCTAGAAGCTAACAGCACAAGATTGTGAACTATACAAATACCGCTGCTAATTTTGTGCAAGTCAACAAAGATTTTAGGGTTTTAAGAGTAACATTTTGAAGAATTTTAATTTCTTCTACTGCTTAAACTAAGTATAAATGAAAGGTACTGGAAGGTTAGATGATCCCAAAGGTCAGGAGAGTCCCCAGTGTACAGAGTGGTGGTGTTCATTGCATAATACTGGCCTTAGAGGCTAAAACAGATGTGGTAATGCACAGATATTTTGACAGCTTCTCCTTAGCAGTGGATTTTGCTCAGGATAGAGAAATAACTGGAATAAATTGCTAGTTTAGCTCACACTGAAGAAGTAACAGAAAATTCAGTTTGGTAGTCTCTATACTTTCATCAGCTGAATGATACTGGTTTAGAAAATCTTTGAAATGGGCAAAAATTATTTGAGAACTAATATGTGCAAGAAAATGCTCTGATAAAACAAGGATTGTCCCAATTTGGGTATTTAGCATTTATGTATGCAAAACAGGACCAGAATAACCCACAGTGACAATAGGGTCTGCAACACAGCCACAACTGCTCCTTTGTCCCATAACACAGAGCACTTAGCACACTGGGTGATGCTGGTGGAAGACTACAGCCTCTAAACCCTATCCGTAAATCAATCCTTGTATCAGTGATAGGTAGAAAAAAATTATCATATAATGCACATTTATGTCTGTCTTACAGCCATTTGCCTGTCTGCATATTACTTCATACTCAGTTGACATCTGATTTTTTCATGTTTATGGAAATTTTGAAGTTTCCACTGATTTTTCACTCAGTTGCTGTGATACCTGCCTCTCTGAATCATAGAATCAACTAGGTTGGAGATGACCTCTAAGATCATGAAGTCCAACCATTACCTCAGGACTGCCAAGGCCACCACTAAACCGTATCACTGAGGGCCTCATCTACATGGGTTTTGAACACTACCAAGGACAGTGATCCCACCACTTCCCTGGGAAGCCTGTTCCAATGCCTGATCACCCTCTCTGTAAAGAAATTTTTCCTAACATCCAGTCTAAACCTTCCCTAGCATAGTGTGAAGCCATTACCTCTTGTCCTATTATCACTTGTTACTTGGGAGAGGAGACCTACCCCCACCTCACTACAACCTCCTCTCAGGTAGTTGTAGAGACCAATAAGGTCCCCTCCTCTTCTGAGCCTCCTCTTCTCCAGAATTAGTACACCACTAAAGTTTCAGTGCCACACACCATACTTGTCAGTTTTCACTGCGTGCTCCATACTGATACCTTCCATTTCATTATTTTGAGATTAACCTCATTGCTGTCACTAGATCTCTACATCTTACCATCTTCTTCCAGCAAGTCAGAAAGAGAGAGAGAGGTTCAGGGTGAAGAATGGAGAATGCAAGTGAGGGGAACATATTTCATTTTTAAGTGCAGCTTTGCAGCCTGCAGTGCTGCAAAATAAACAAACACATTTTTAGGGCACCACCTGCAGCACACAGCTGTATGGAACTGTGTGAACTGCTAAGGGTGTGATTTGTTCTGCTTTGTGTGAAACCCTGGGGTCTCAGAAAACATGTTGGGAAGGCATTTCTGTGGCACAACTCCCTGCTTCCCTGCCCTCTCCAATTCTTGGTGAATATTATAGCTGTATCTGTAAAGGTGAGATCTTATCTTCATTGCACTTTGACAGCAACAGTAATTTATCGAATACTGTGACAATACATAGGGAAAGAATTAGCCACAGATAATTCACTTGGTTTGGGGCACAGAGATAACCCTCAGTTCAGCCTGTGCTCATGTACTGAGTGGAGCTCTCCGCTCAACTCTTCTCTCTGAGAAAAGTTCCCTTTACAGAGCTATGATGCCTTGAGCACCTGAGCCATCCAATGGTCTCTGCAAGACCCACATCTCTGCCTGTCCTTGATGCCTACATATTACCAAAATGAACTGGTCTGGTGATGGCATGACTTGGACACCCATATGCTCCATACATTTAAGTGTCATGTGCTTAATGGTTATTGGTTCTTGCTGCTTACATCAGAAAAGTTATTTCATTTTCTGAACTATTGGTTATCAAGGGTAGGTACGTTTGAATTACTGATCTCCAGAGAGAATTGTTCCAGGTAAAGAATGAGGCCAGTGGTACTAATGGAGATTTGATTTGCTACTGGTTTGTGAAATCTCAGTTGTATTCTGCATAATATTTACAAAGTGGAGGATGAATGAAAGTTCCCCCCCCCCCCCAAAAGATAGGAGGTATAGATGCCACTTCACCATGAGAAGATTGATGTCTGGGAGGGACACAGTGCAGGTTATACACCCCTGCTAACCTTGTCATGCAATGTCAGGGCTTAAGGTGTTGGTTGGCTCTAGGTATGAATAGTATATGCATCCTATCTTTTTGATCACATAGCTAAAAATGAGTCACAAGCTTGCAGTTTCACAGCCACCCACCCCCACTGATGTCTGATTCTAGCTACAGATCCTCTG